GCTGCAGGGACTTGTCCAGGCAGTCTCTGAGAATTGGACACGATTGAACGGATTAAAAAAAAAAAAGTATGAATATAATATTGTTCAAACTTTTGCTGAGGTAAAAATAGTTGGTGCTTATCATATGAAAGAGGGCTCCCGAGCCCTTTTCCTGCATGACTGACCTTATTACAGAATGAAAGATAACATGGCTCATTCTCACAGCAACTAATATATGGAGGGCACCAGGTTGGAGAAAGTTGACTCTCAGCTGAGAAGCTACAGTTGGGAGACAATTGCAATGTATGCCTTTTTAAAACATGATTTACTGGCTGGATTCATACTACCGTACATGGTAAACTGCTGGCCTTTTATAAGGCCTTGAAAACCTGGTGCCTCCCCTGGCACTGGGCCAGGATGTTGGATAAGGCTGGTTTTGTGGTGCTTGAGATTGTGACTCTGATTGCCCATAGTTGTATTATGCTCTCTGTTGTTTTTATTTTTCATTGAATATTTTTCATTTTTCTCTTTTAACCCCAGAGTAGCAGTTGGTGAGTTGTGTGGCAATATAAACAAAATAAAATAAAATAAAAAAGCCAAGCTGCATTATGGCTTAGCATGCTGAGTTCCATACTTTAAACAAGAAATGGTAAATTTCCTTGAATGAGTTAATGAATTTTCTCTTGCAAGTCACGTGCACTGATGCCTCTCTCCCTCATTATATTCATTCTTCTTCCCAGGCCCAAAAAATGGGCAGATACAAAATGAGATATTTGGAATTTAGTTCTGGGAGGCCTATGGACAAAGCTGGAAGCACTATTTCATTAATAAAGATATCTGAGAAACAACGTTAATTTGTGAATTTATTGTGGGGTAGCCCAAACATATAAATAAAAAAAAATTAAAAAGCCATTGTTGGAGTTAGATAGGGTAAGATAAACTTTTCTGTTCTGAATTTAGCTCTAACCAAGAACCTTCCATTTCAATTTGTTAGAAATCATAAGATTTAAGATTTTTGTTATCAATACTCAGTAAAGTCTGCTTTAATATGTAAGGCTTCACAATATTTTTTTAGGTATTTCTTCACTTATCTCTTACCTCATACCGCACCCATTGTTTTGCAACCAATTCTGAAGGATATCCTGAATGCCACAGGTATGTGGTAGTTCAAATTGTTTAAGATACGTTTAAAATATTTATTTAAATAAGAGCTGATTTAAAGCAGCTTTTGTCTTACAACATTCCTCTCCCCTCTGCATGTAGGTGATTTGCGATATGGAGCAAATGAAACTCTAAGAGCTTTCCAAAAGGTTTTGCATTTGTACAAGTCAGGACTTTATCTGCAGAAAAGGCCTTCTCATTTAAAAGGTATGGATTTCATATCCTAACTTTAAAGCTTCTAAAATAATTATTTAACTTCAGTGAGGAAGTTCAATCAGACTAAATGCATAGGGACCTGACACAGATAAAATGAGTTGTGCTTAATTAAAACCCATTGTAATCGGTGGGAGAAGCTAGCTTGGTCAACCTAAACCCCTTTGGGACTTGGGTCATTGAGATTTTAGTAAAACTAGCTTTCGCTACAGAGGGACCAGTGACTGCATTGAGTAGGGTTTACTTGATCTTTGGACCTTTTCCTGTGAACAACTCTCAAGCATTTAATAAATGTGTGATGCGAAGAGAGGCCATATCTGTTAGCCTTGACACTAATGAGTCTATCAGCCATACTCCTCTGCTACTGTTTACACAACATTCATCTGAAAAGTCAAGTAATCAACTTGAGGGCAGTCAAGCCTACATGTTTGGTTCCCTTTTAAACAAATACTGTGGATATAGCTATTAGAGCAGGGATTGGCAATGTGGTCTGGATGAACACTCCAGACTCCTCCCTTAATGCCCACTGAGCTCCTGCCCTACCTGATATTTTAGAAATATTGTTTTAATAAAACCAATAAATAAGAAAATGACATGTTGTAAAGTAAAACTTTAGCCTGAAGCATTTGACTGTTTGTGGGAATGCTTTTGGGCTCCATAGCATTTTCTCTGGGATATTAGAGAGCATGGAGGGAGAGGGGCAAGTTCACTTGTGGTGAAGTTTTCCCTGGCCAGAGTAGACATTTTGTGAAGTATCCCATGGGAGCCATTTTGTGAGTACATCCATCGTAAGCTTCAACATTCCAGATGTATTGAAGGCCTCCAAGATGGTCTACTGCAGCAATAAAAGATGGAGCTTGTGGTCATAGTCCCACTTCCATTTCATATATCCATGGGTTGTGTGGTGCCTTATGTTCTGAACGTTGTAATTTTCAGGTGGTGTGGTTAGGTTTCATTATGAATAAGTTTACTGATTTCTTTTAAAATGGGGATGATATTCCTAGAGCCTGAAAAATCTTACAAGACTGCTTTGGGAATAGAACTCCTATTTGTCCATGTAATAAATTCTACACCCATCCAAGTGAGAAAATAGAGTCACTGATGACATAAAGGCTGTCCAAGAAGATAAGAATAAAATGTTATGGCTTGCCATACTGCTAATAAAGAGTGGCTCAGGTGTATGTGAGAGAGACAAGATTTATAACTGCTTTGCATAGACTTGCCTGAGAAGATAAGTTCTGGTTGAGATGCAGAATCTTAAACCATCTTTTCCATTTTTCTCATTTAAGAAATATTTCTGAGTTTCCAACAGATACATAGTAATAATCCTTTATCTTTTCTCCCTACCCCCAGAATATGTTGTTGTAAAGGGATTCCGCAGTGTGGATACAGAGGACTATAAGTGCTGGCCTTCGTATAGCCCTTTGAGATGCATGCTCTCTGTTCATAATGTAGAAGAAGCTGCCTCCATTTGCAGTTACCATCCACAGTGTCAATATTTTATCATCACTCCACAGAGAACATGGACAGGTGAGAACAAGTGACATTATAAAGATCACCTTGGCATTTTCCTCAAAAATCCATGGAAGATTCACACATGATCTAGACATGCTTTTACTTGCATTTGGGTAAGGGAAGTTATGCTCATGCCAGCCTAACACGCCCAACTGCTTGCAAAGATCTTCACACATTTTGTGCAGTGCTTGGAAGTGTATTCATCTGCATATGTGTACAGCTCTGTCCACAATCAGGAATCCTGATAAGGCAGAGTTTCTGATTCAGAATAGCTTGTCAGCACGTTTAGATAAAAACACTTACAAAATTTTTGCAGAACCATGAACAGCTTTACAAGCACCCAAAGTATAAAGATGCAGGTGATATTTCCACATCCTCTTATTTCAGCCCCACTTCTGTGCAGTGACTGAAGACAGCCATTTAAACAATTCAAGTGGTCTTGCATGAGTTGGATCCACTTGTTTTGCCAGCTTCACAGATTCTGCACTTGCTCAAACTAAATTTTGCTAGTCTTCAAAGTATACATTTCTAAATTATTTTTTCTTGTTTTGCTCAGGCATTGTCAGGCACAAATTTGAGATATGCTAGACTGAGATGCATATTTTCAGTCATGAAGCTACATCAAGTTCTTTCTCTTTCTGTCCCCT